TAGTCCGACTCACCCTTACCAGCAGACGGAAACCCGCAGAAACACTCCCTAATTGCGACATGCGGTTTTTATTATCATGAAAGTGAAAAGGTGTTATCTATGCTGACGAAAAAAGCGTACGGAAGTTAGACCAGAGAAAGGAAAAGGTGAAGGTATGCTAACGAGAGAAGACAGTAAGCCTGTGAAAGAAAAAAAAGGCAAAAAGATGCACTTATTTAATTTTGGTGCGATGTCTCGTGATTAGAAAATTAATGATCATCATTACGTAACGGTAATATTATAGCCCGTCGACTTGAGATTAAAGAAATTATAATCGATCAAAAATGTTGATCAATTTTCCTATATTGGTTAATAATGAGTATTGCTACCAAAAGACGGATGGATGAGTTATAGTTATTTGAGTCAAAGATTTTCGAAGTGGTTAATGTAGTTGATGTTATGAAGGATGAATATCATCATAAGTTTTCGGGATTATAATGACCATATTCTTAAATTTTTAAATAGTGGATTTTGAATAGGAACCTACTTCATCTTCTTGGGTCGCGAAACGGTTTTGCTCGACGAAATTCTTTCATATCATATACCAGACAGAAATGGATGTTTTGATGATCATCATACTGCTGAAAATCAAAGTAACAAACTTCGAATAAATTGAATATGGGTTGGGTCTATTTAAATTCATGGTCAAGGAAGGGTCAGAGTGCACTTTTATTGTCGGAAAAATTATTCCATCACATATGTTCCCCGGGAAGACAAATGATAAAATGACAAATTTATTATGTCTTTAATAAGAATTTGTGTATTATTTAGTGAGAATTATCGGTGAGAAATTTTTTTTGCTAATAAAGAAATATCTTGCAATAATTGCTACCAAATTTTAGATCTACTTCGCGCCGAAAATTCCTGAAGTTGTCAAAAGAAAAATGTCGTAGGGAGGAGTCAGAGAATCTTAGTTAATAAAGTTGGTTACATTGATGATAATAATCTTAGCGACATCTCTACGCTCGCTGACATTTAGATACTGAAGAGGATGACTTTCACGAATGATAACAATTCACTTGTTACTAAGGTTTTTTTTTTTAAAAACACAATATAGGACGCTGATTTGTCAAATGAAACCGAAAATGTATTAATATTAACTGCTAATAAATTAAAAAGGCTCTAAAGAAGCTTTTTTTTCTTCTCCTTTTACTCATGTTAATCTCATCTTTACTTATCAATCACCTCTTCTAGCTCTAATTATCGTGATTGGTCTATTTCATATTCCTTTAAATAATTGAGAGTAATTTGATACATTTTAATATTTTTTTTTTACGAGTGAATTTAAAAAAATGTTCAAATGTCAGGATGAATAAATTTTATTAAATAGAAATAAATACAACTTTAGATTATAATAAATAATTTAATTAGAATTTCTATTTAACCTTCTAATATTCAGGATCTTTCAAAATAACGACTAAATTGTCTCTATGAATAACACATTCGGAATCGGCATAACCCAACTTCTTTTCAATTTCATTACTTTTACAACCTTTAATCCTGGAAATTTCCGTTGAAGAATAATTCACCAAACCTTTTCCGACTGTAATCAATTCAGGAATTTCTTCACCATTCTCATTAACATGAAATTTTTCAAATATTAATTTGACAGCTTGATGAGTCACGAAATTTCCTTCACATTTCACAATACCGGCAGCAAATAAACTACTCTTTTGTCCAGCTTTCGTTATAGCTTTTACAGCACCTTCATCAATAAATACAGTACCACCTGTATGTAACCCGTGTAATATCCACCACTTTTTATCCATCATTGGATTATTTTTTGCTAAAAATCGTGTATGGAGGGGGATTAATGAAGGATTTTTATACGAAACCAAATTTTGATCATCTACGTTTGATAAATTTGCTATGATTGAAATGATATTTTTTGGTGTTGATCCGCGAGTTATGATCGTTGTGACTCCAGCAGCTGTTGCAAGATCTGCTGCTATAAGCTTTGTTACCATTCCTCCAGTTCCTAATGAACTTCCAGGCGACGAAACCGTAACTAATAACGAGAAAGAGTTAGATAGATTAATAAAATAAAATGAAATGAACAATCAAGAATTAAATTTCAAAACCTTGATCTTTTAACGCTCCCACATCTTCAACCACCTCAACAGGCTTTACATCAGGATTTGTTCTTGGGTTGTCCGTGTATAGACAATCAACATCAGTCATCAAGAACAAATAGTCTGCATTCACCATTCCAGCTGTTATAGCTGATAAGGTATCATTATCTCCAAATCGAATTTCCTATAAGATTATATGAAGTGGAATAAGAAAAATTATTCAAGATTCATGTATACTTTTTTTTTCCATATCAACTTACGCTCACGGAAATGGTATCATTTTCATTGACAATCGGGACAACACCCATTGACAATAATTCAGAAAAGGTGTTGACAGCGTTAAGGTATTGAGTTCGCTATAAATATAAACGATAAATATTTATCCAACCAAAATTAAAATAAATCAGTAAATTTCGTGTAATTTTTCTTACATCAGCAAGATCATGACGAGTCAATAGTATTTGCGCAATCGGTTGATTGAGTTGACTAAAAAGGTCATCATACATTCTCATTAATCTTCCTTGACCAACCGCGGCAAGTGCCTTTTCAAAAAGAAAATAATAAAATAAATTAATATATAAATAAATTTTTTTTTTTTTAAAAAAAAAAAATCATTTCTCATTACAAATTTCAATTAGATTATCACCTGAATCGCGGATAATTTTTTAGGTTTTTTATCCTTATTTAACCTTCTTAAGCCAACACCAATAGCTCCACTTGTAACCAAAACCACCCTATTACCTAAAGACCTAAGTTTTACAACGGTTTCAACCATAAGTGAAAGATTTGATAATAAAGGCAAATTGGTTTCTTCATCACATATTGATGACGTTCCGAGCTTTATTACAATTGTTGACGATTGTGAATTGCCCGTACGTGGATTTTTATGGGACATAATTTGGGCAGAATTTTATTTTTGAGCGAGAAATTCAAAATCATTTTTTTTTGAAAGAAAAAAATTTTTTTTCTAATAATTTGATTGACAGATTTCCCACGCTAAATAATTAAATTGTGTAACAAAAAAAATTTGGAAAAAATTTTTTTTTTTTTTTGTATTTAATTTATGCGTATAAAGTTGCAAAGAAAAAAATAATAAAAAAACCTTTAGAATAAAAGAAAAAAAGACAACCTTCAAAAATGCACAAAGATTATATAAAAGTTCAAATGAAAAACCAACAAAATGAGATTATTAGAATACTATATTATCAAAAAAGAAATTAATGAAAATAATGAAAAAATAACATAAATACATATAGGAATATAAAAAAAGGGAAAGAATTATTATATAAAATATAAAAAATGTGAAAGAATGAAGAAAAAGTTATTGAAAATAAAGAATAAATAAAAAATATCTAATAATGATATTATAATAATATTATATAATGATGATATGTAATAATAGTATATAATAACTTTTGAGAATAGGATTAAAAATGAAGAAATGACAATATAAAGAAACAGAAAAACTTAATTAAAAATGAAATATAAATTATTGAATAATAATTGGAAATAAAAATATAAAATATCATAAATAAATAGAAAATAAATAGAAATCTAAAAATAAAAATAACATAATAATAGAAATTAATTAGAATTAAAAATAAAATAAAAATTAGAATTAAAAATGGAAATCAGAATAAGAATTAAAAATAGGAATAAGGAATATGAACAAAAATTTAGAAATAGAAAAAATAATTTATAGAATTAATTGACATTAATTTACTATAAATAAAATTAGAATTTTATTTTGTAAAATTTAAATATCTTAATCCTTATAGCAAAAATTATATAAAAATGAAATATTAGCTATAAAATATATTATTAATATATTTATATATTACAGTTCATGTTATAAGTAATAGTAGTAAATATATTACATTTTTATTTATTTGTTTTAATTTATTCTTCAACTTTATATAATATACTTAAATTATTAGGTTATCTCTAAATATTTCAGCAAGATAATAATCTGAAATTCCTATAATATTTAAAGAAACTTGAAATCTCATATCTTCTGAATTGGATTTTATCTTAATCTTTGTATAGTTCAGATCTTAATCTAATTGAAAATGTCTAAGCTATTTTAAAAAAATATTTAAAAAAAGATTATGAAAATATTGACATAGAAGAAAAAAATTTTAATTGAATTTTTTATAATGTAATTAAAGAAAAATAAGATGATCTCAATAAATCTATAATAATTAACTATATCAATAATATATTGAATTAAGTTTAAGTATCTATTAATGTAGAAAAAGTATATACTAAATATTAATTAATTATTAAAATTGTAGCTATAAAATTGCATGTATTAAATTAAAAAATTGCATGTCATTACTTTTATATGGACTGTAATTTGTTTACTGTGAAATATTTTATAAATAATAATTATTAAAGGAGAATAAACTCTGGAGATAAAATAATATGAATAATAATAACTTAAAATAATAAGAATGAAAAAATAATTTTAGAAATAATAATAATAAAAAAGTACAATCAACTTTCTATAAATGCACTTTATATAAATGTATATCCTGTTTAAATACACTGTTTAGCTTAATTAGTTGAAAAATTAATGCTAAATGTATCCTCTTTTCTATATATGATACAACAGTTTTTTGATTTCGTTTATATAAAAATTTCTATATAAATGTATTCACGTGATTTTATGTAATTTAATATAAGTTATATATAATAAATTTTAATTATAAAGTAAATTTTCTAATAAAAGAATCAACCATTAAGTAATTATCTAATAAAGTTAAAGTAACCTCTTAATGAAATAAAAATGTTTTTATTTCGAAACTTGTATAACAAACGTATCTGATCGTATTGATCTCCAACATTGAGGCAGTACCTTAATTAAAATAGATTTTAGTATTTTTTAATAAATTTAATTAAAAACACAAACTTTCTGCCTAACTTTTTATAACAAATGAACGATAAAATAGAATAAACTTTAAATATGGAGTCTAATATGCATCATCATTTCTCAAGAATATAACAAAAAATGCGATTATTATGATCTATTTTTGAAGGATGGTCAGTAATAGCGTTCCAAAAAACTTAAAAAAAATTTTTTACTTACATCTTAACATAGAGATGCTTGAATTTGCACTGTTTTTGAATAGTACTGCTTGTACCTTCAGGTTTTGTCCTTTGATATCTAACTATTGAGAGTGATCTATCGCTTGTCCAACAAAAGCTCTAATTGCATAATCCACGAAATCACATCGCATCGCGATTATGTAAAACAACATTCTCCAAACGCAAAATAATGCTTCTATAATGCCCTCCTAAATTCCTATAGTAAATATTGAAATGTAAAAGTACAGAAAGATATCTTGTGCGTGTCAAATAATTTTTCAACATAATTAGAATAATAAATATTTAATTTGTCACAATAAGGCTCGTCTTAATCATTTCTCAACTAGCTGAATCAGCTTTGGCACGATTAGCTGATTGTCACCACCTGCAATTTTAATTCATGAAGTTCAAATAACAAAGATCTTAAAATATTTAAGAATCTCCAATATCTACTTTCAATCCTTGTCAACGATGAATTATGTCTGATCAATCCTTATTTTTTTGTAACTATTCCAGTTCCAGAAGACTCTAAAGTTTGTAAAGACATTAGAAACCTAAAATTATATTTAATTATCAATAAATATTATAAGTATCGAGAAGAAACTTACTTCACATTATTTTCCGAATATCAAACCGAGTTTAAAATACCTTTATCTTTTATTAAAATTACAAACTTATCATTTGAACGCACCTAGAACAAGTTCTGTTAAGAATCAGAAATAACTTGAAAGGTTAAAAGTTAGTTAAAAATAAAAGAAAAATGAAATTAAAAATAATCTACTAAATTAAACGCAATGAAATAATAACTATCACAAAACTTGGAACAAAGTCATCACAACTTAACTCGTGATTTTTACAGAAAAATTTAAATGTCAAATACATGAAAATATTCCCGGAGAATCAAAACATTTAACTTAATTAAATTTATGTATTATATACGACATTACAAATTAGTAAATCATATGATCCGGCTATTTATATTATCGCTCAAGCAAATACATATTAAACATAATTTCGCAATTCTCTGAATTGACGCGAATGGCGAATGGCGCAGTAAGCCCAATAATTGTAACCGAACAATTCTATAATGGACTTTTAATTTATTAATCGATTAAACGTTGGCTTGTCAGTTAAAAACAGAGGGAATTTTTTTTTGCAAAACAAACATCATTATAGTCGATTTTGCTGCGTGGAGCCACAATGCCAACAAAAACACTTAAATTACCAACGATTTGTTCAAGAAGCAGACTTTTATTAACAAAATAACCTGATCATATTAATTCATTCAATTTAGTATATTTTCAATCTTTAAAATTCAATATGGGCGTAATACCTGATAAATGGAATTAAAAAAGCGATTCCAATAAAAAAAATGTTCAATTATAAAAAAAAAAAAGGTTAAAAAAATATATCAATTAAATAAAAAAAAAAATACGAAATAAAAAAAATACATGAAGTTTGAAAGATAAAAATAAAAAAAGAAAATAAAAAAATTGGGGCAGGGCATCGCAGGAAATTTCTTTAAACGGTAAGGGATTAGCAGCCCACCCGGAAGATATGAGTTAAGCTAATATTGAAAGAAATCTGGCAAGGTATACATTTATTAGAATATTAAAATGATTTTACAAACAATAATATAAGATAAAATAAAACTACCTATCCTTGACCAGTTTCCTTGTTCGCTTTCGGGCTCAATT